AACGTTGATTTTGGATCATATAATCCTATTTATTACTTTTTTTATATAAATGTGATTGATCTTTGAACACATAGCCCATTGTATTTTGTTTTTTCAAATATTCGGCGCTTTTGTTTTGTGTAAAGCTAATTTGGGCAAGGCCTCAGAAGTAGCATAGCTTTCCAGCTGTCTGGGTTGGGTAAATAGTTGATTTGTGACCGATTTTGTTTTCAGATAAGTGAAAAAAGTAGTTATTATTCAAGATAAACGTAGGTTGAATAGTTCTTGTGTATCTACACTATTCATAGCTTGTTAGAGAGCTCATGCTAAGAAAGCTAATGCTACTTTCACTTGCTTGAGTAGCTGCTTTATTTGCGGTTGTGTTAACGCTGGCGGCGTATGTGCGAAATAAACTACATATGGGTCAGTTCCAGCATTCATGTGACTCGTCTTATATCATCTCATTTGTTATTTCTTTCAGTTGACAGGGCCGAAGTATGAGGCTGTACAGTCTTAGTGTTATTTACAAAGGGGCTACTAAAGCCAACCTCCTCAAAGCAGCCTATGACCTCTCTTCCTTCAGTTTCTTTCAGCGCTCCAGGTAAATAGTCTCGTTTTTGGACAATTTTAGTAAGTGTTTCTCATCTTTTAATGTAAAAATGTCGATACTTGTGGCACATATGTAAGATGACTAAATTCATATCCCAAATTCACATTTACATTCCTGCTCACCCACTGCACCAGACTATAGAGGAACAGAGGAGCTCAATCTCCAACAGGCTCCTACAGCTCCGCTCACATACAGATACAGGACTACATTCATACTATACTCCATACAACTGTACAACTCTGACTTGTACATGCACATTTATATAACTGTGCCTTATTTAACACCTCTCTCTTGCTATATTTTTTGCTACTTATTTAGAATTTAGAGTATATTATATATTATTATTACCATTTATATTTTATTATTTGTTATTATAATATATTGTGATATGTGAGCTACTGTGTCCAAGTAATTTCCCATGTGAATCAAAGTTTTCTAAGTCTAATGGTAAGTCTGAATTTAAAGAGCACCAGCAAATTTTACAAATAATCAGGTGCTGCACAGAGACAGAATAAAAAACAACTAAAGGATGCTCGATGCTCAATTTAACTGTACTAATCCTTAAACAGTAACACCAGTAAAATCAAAAAGCAAAGTTGTTGCAAAAAACAAAACAAAAAAGAAACAATAAAATAAATACAGACTACAAATACAATAAAGACCAAGGACCACAAAAGTCATGCAGTTTTAAAGACTAGACTAACAAGACTAAAAACAACTCCAATGTGGGGGCTGTTCGGACGTGTGTTTGGGGAACAGAGAGTTTCAGAATTTAGCGCTGAGCACTGTGAAGGCCCGGTCCCCTATGGTTTTAAATCTTGTCACCACCTGACCCGTGGCACCTAAACTGTGCATATGTTCTCTTGTGTGTATAACTGTACAATTTCTGGATATAATGTTTTCCTCTAATATGATTTGATTATTTAGTGTTCAGGAGTTTATGACCTTCACCAGTGCCTTGATTGTGGAAAGGACAACACAGGGTAGTCGTGCCTCTGTAAAAGAGCAAGGTACAGTAAATGTCCAACTTTAGGCTACATTTTTTTCAAACATAAATGATGAATTGCTCCCTTTTCTTTTAGAATACCTATGTCATGTCTATGTGAGGAACGATAATTTGGGTGCTGTTGTCATAGCAGATACTGAATATCCTCAGCGAGTCTGTTTCACTTTACTTGATAAGGTAACAATACAGCTGTATTGCACACTGAATAATAGACATTGGTAATTCTCCATATTCACTGTGAGGCCCCTGTGCAGGTATTAGATGAGTTCTCCAGGCAAGTGGACAGTATAGATTGGCCTTCAGGTAACCCTGAAACCATCAACTATAAAGCGCTAGATGTTCATTTGGCTAAATACCAAGTATGTCCATTCTTTAACACCTTATACCCTTCATCACTGTACAGAAAAAAGACATAATATTTTTTCCTTCTTTTAGAATCCCAGGGAAGCTGATGCAATGACCAAAGTGCAAGCAGAGCTGGATGAGACAAAGATTATTTTGGTGATATTTTTGTGAATAATTCTGTTTTGTCTATTGTGTATAAATTATGTGAATATTACTTTTCAATATTAAATACTATTCTTTAGCACCACACAATGGAAAGTTTGCTGGAGAGGGGGGAAAAACTTGATGATCTTGTTGCAAAATCTGAGCACCTGGGGACTCAATCCAAAGCTTTCTACAAAACTGTAAGTATTTACAAACCTACATAGACATATTGCAGTATATCCTCTTATAACCATAGTCTTAATAATGTTTCAGGCACGGAAACAGAACTCGTGCTGTGAAATCATGTGATGTTGCTGCCTCGTCCATTTGGACATGCCTTTCTCTGCCTTTCTACTTCTCCTCCCATCATGCACCAGCCACAAAGTCTCCGCAGCTGCAGCAGAGCCACTGGCTTATGCCCGGTTCAGGCCTGGGGTCTGAAGGAGCAAGGGGCTGAAGGTGTGTGATGGGGACTGATCTGAGGAAGACAAAAGTTAATTTAACTGTGTGTCTTAATCTGTGCGGTATTTCAACCAGCTAAAGACACTATGGTGTCATGTTCACTCATCAACATTGCTATGTTACACTTTTAAGTCTCATTTTAATTCTGAACAACTTATTTGATGATGAGAAAAAGTGTTAAGCAACTTTGTTATGTTGCTGAAAGGAACATTTGACAATCTCTCAGTCTTCTGTTTTGAAAATTTACTGTACATCTTTGTTTTAAAAGCTTCAATGACAGTTACTCACAAGGTGGCACTGTTGATCTATTTGATTTTAACTTTTTAAATTTTGGTCTGACATGAGGTGAATATGCATATCACAGTCTCATTTTACAATGGTTGTAAACATCTTATTATAATCAGTTATGTAATCTCATTTAAAGAGTCTTATACATTCCTAGTTTGAGAGTTGGCAGATTTGATATGAAAGATAATTTGTGTTAGAGTGTTCAGCTGAAGCCTTATAACTTTTAACCTCTCTGCTCTCTCATCTCACAAAGCACTTCAAAGCTTTTTGTATTGTCATTTTCACACTTTATTATTAATAATTATAGAGAAAGAGATTTAAATGAAAGAAGCACATTCAACGATAATTTCATACACTCCACCAGTTTAATATTCTCAACAACCATATTTAAAATGGAAGAGAGGCCTATAGTTTGATAGTTATTTCTTGTCTGTGTATGAGGGATGTGGCCGTTAATATTCTGGCTTAATCAATGTTGGAGGACCTGTGCATCTGTTATCAAAGTTTGCTCTTCTGCTTTTATAGTGTAAACATTTGTGCAATATGTGTGTGTTTCTCTCAGATTAAGAGTAATGGCAGTCCAACTTTTTATCTCCCATTTGATTATGTAATTGGATACATTCTGTGTGAAGCTTTTATGTAATTGTGAATGTGCAGTTGCAGCAAGGCTGGCGCAGCTCGCTATCTGTTCTTGACATAAGTCAGTCTACACTATTTTGACCTATGCGGTCTGAAAATCTTTTCTGTATGTAATAAAATTCTAGAAATAAACCTTCCTTGCCTTACCTTTTGTTTCTGACAAACTTGCAAGCACACCGAGTGTTCCATATCATTGCATGGATGCCTTTTTGAGTTGGTAGAACATTTTGTTGAAGTAGTTACACAACTTTATCTACACTTTATTTAAGAAAGTAAGATACGGGTTCTCATTTTGCCAACCTCTACCTGTAACCTTGATTGGGAAAATGTTGGAAGATGAATAACATTAGATTTAAACACAAACACAAAATGGTTGATATTACAACAAAACTAGCGAGTCTTACACTAGTATGTTTATACTTCAGAAATTCTATATGCGATGTGGTGAAAGTTCCTGCCCCGAGAAACGCACATGAACGCAACAGCCAATTGGCTGGAGCAGTGAGACGCCTGCACAAAGGGGAAAGCGCGTAGAACGATGAACTGTCGGAAATGTGATGGAAGTTATGGATCACAGAGTCAACAGCGTGCCAAATGTCTCTAAAGTAAGTGCGAGTGCTTTTATGTTTTCTTTTGTTATCTCTGTGTTAACTCAGTCTGCCGACATTAACCATAGTCGTTCTATGTCTCGTGATGTGATTTGTGCTCTGGCTGTTGACTGCACATGTGGATACGTCCCTCATTTTCATTAGATAGCCCTTATCATACTTATGTAACATTTCTCCTCATTAAAACAGAAGCGGTTTGTGATTCATTTGGACTAAAAACAAATGTTTGGGTTCTTTTAAAACTGTAATTTCTGCCTCTGCAGAAAGATATGAACAGAGGAAAACCAGATTTCAAATCCAGCCTAGATTTAGGGGAAATTTCTTGCAGAATGCATAAACCGTCAATTAAATTTCATAATTTCTTTATATGTTGTTTTTAATATTTGATATGACAAAAATATGTGGATTATATTATATATTTCCAATGATGTTTTACACACCCAAGGGATTGATAGTTTATTTTTGTTACTTGATTACTGAAATGCAAGTCAATGAAAACGGAACAAAAGCACAGAGCTTCTGCTGTGAAGTGTTGCTGATCTTTCCACCTGTAGCTTACTGATTATAGTCTGCTATGGGTTTTCAGTCATAGGTTTGGTTAGTGTTTGACAAGAGTGTGTTGTAACACGTTTGTTTTGCTGCTTTAAGGTGGTTGACCCAGATCTGGCATGGAAGAGTTTCAACCCAGTTCACCCGAGAAACGGTAAGTATATCATTTCTAAGAAATGTATCAATGCCTGCACATGTATATGCATGTCAATTTGTCTACATTCAAAAACACAGTTGTCTGCTTTTGCACATTCATGTTAATGACTCTGGAAGGTGCACAAACACCTTCTTTTGCAGTATGCCAAAACATTAACTTGAGTCTTGGTAAAAAAAAAAAAAAAAATAAAATAAATAAATACCATTCAGGGGGTCAAATAAAAATATGCATAGGATGTCTTAACTGACTTAATTTTGTAAAGTCACTGGGTCTCCTTTTAAGTGTATTTTGTATTGCTATATCTTCTGTTCATGGTATGGCATAGACCAGGGGTGTCAAACTCAAATTCACAGAGGGACAAAATTAAAAACTGGGACTACATCATGGGCCAAACTGAATATTTATTGAAACATTTCAACATCTGCATGTTTTCTTTCGAGATATGTAATGTTAAAACTTTTCTTATTAAAATAAATGTTTAATAATAGTTTTGCTTAAACATTGAATCCAGAACAAGCATAATATAAAATAATAACAAAATATTAAATAAATAATGTCTCTGTAGTCTATCTGTAGCCGGCGAGAGAGCTCTAATACATTTTTTTATATGATCTTGTGGGCCACATATAATTATATTGTGGGCCAAATTTAGCCCCAGGGCCTGAGTTTGACATGTCTGACATAGACTGTATACAGTCTGGGCTATGGTCACTCACTGCTCTTTTCTGGGACTTGTAAGTACTTGTATATTGTTTTTAATAACATGCATCATTTGTTTAGCAGGGTCTACTGCAGCTGCCACACATTTGACCCTAACAGAGGACTCTGAGAGAAGTGGGATCGTTCCAGGTAATCTCTGTCTTTGGCACAAAAAATGTTGGTGCTTTTACAGTAAATGCAGTTTAAAGATCTTTTCTATTGAATAATGTCTTTTTCAGCTCTAGTTGCTGCAGCTTTGTTTATTACCCTTTTGCTCACTCTGTATGCAGTTTTGTGGAAGTGTATGGACTCAAAAGTACCTCAACGGTAATGTCTCTTATTTAGATTGATTTTCTAGATGACTTTGCATTTGTGTTTTGATGGTAGGCCTAGTTATTTCTTATGAAACTCTGTTTTTATGTTTCAGAAAGAAGAGTAAGGTGAGAGTGAGAGTGCGGCAGACGGATACTGTATAAAATCTGCATACAGTGTGCTACGGGTTACTTTGTCATTTTGGATTTACATGGAGAGAGTTTTTGGAGTATTTGGACTTTTATTGGCTGAAATGAAAAGAAGACCCAGATAATATTTAAAACCCTGTTGGTCTTTTTGTGAGGTATTGGATCATGCCGTTTTGGCTAGTGTTCCTGTGAACTCTGCTCCACTCGGCTCTCAGTGACTATGATCAATGTCATCAGATCAATATTCCCTTATATGGTCCATTTGACCTTAGGTGTAATTTTAAAATAGATTTTTATTGTACTATCTCAAGTCATATTTTTCCACAAAATATGGGTTAGAGAGTTTTGTTAGCATAAACAGCGATAAGGCACAACACTACTGATTGTATATTTATCATAATGTAGCTATCAGAAGCACAAGCACTTCTACCCCTCTGCATGTGAAATTGCTGTATTATATTTTATATATATTGTACAATATTTTTATTTTTTTTAATCTTTTACTTAGCTCTTTAACGACAGCTTCTTTGTTTGTATTGTCCACTGTTTTGATGAAATTTTGTAAATACTCATTAAATGATCTGATATCCAGTTTGGTATTTATACTTAAGTCTACATGTTGCAGCTAATCTTTTACAATGAACTGTACATTAAGTGTAAATGCCTGAGGTTAAAAACAGGGAATGTGGTCTGATGTGAAGGAATGCCCCGGGAGCAATTCCGCTAACCTCTGTGAATATCCTGGAACAAATTCAAAACTTGCAAATCAGGTTCAACCTTGTCACTCTTCATCTGAAACAAATTGCTACCAAAATAAGAACAGTTGAACACCATACATTAATGTTTCTTCTCAAATTATATTTGTGAATTCAATGTCAGTGTTGTTACCTTTAGTGTAATGTGGAGGAGGAAGTATGTTTTATAATGACGTAAAGCCTATAACAATGCAGTGCCCTCCTCTTTGCCCACAGTGGAAAATATAACCACTACCTCTGATTTACATCGCTCTCGTCTGATTTGTCTATGCATGAATAGAACAGGTTTGGTGTTCAAACGATCTGCAGTTGTTCAGGGTACTGTTAAAATAATCTTAATCTTTGCATTCTTCCATTCCTCCATTTACTTTCTTTTACTTAAATTGTCATGATACAAAAAATTTAACTTGACTTTGATTCTAAAGATGCTTGGTATTGTAATCCTGATAGAAAATATGTACACATTCCTAGACATCCATGACATACAAGTCCAAATAATAGTAGTTGTTTCAAGTAATCTAATCCCATGGATCTATTAAAATGACAAGTTTAGATATAAATTAATCCTGATAAATTCTATAGCAAAAGAAAGATTAAGTCAAACTTTGCCGGTGGACACTGCCTTATATCTGCCTGAAGGGAGAAGCTAACTACACTAAGACTTTTCCAGTATTACTGTTTTAATATTATTGGAGGTTCAAATTTTGTAATCTGCTATTTAATTATCAATACTTAAGTGAGTATCTAGTTTCCATACTGGTTTGAGCATCATTTAGTATCTGGGTATGAATGTTTTGTCAGTCGTATGTTTAACTAAATAAATACAATCAGTACTGTCAGTGCTGCTGTGAATCTTGCATGACAAAGTGGACCAGCTGGTTTGTTCACTTGTTTGACAAAATTTACAAACATGGAAAAACCCTGTTTAACTATATGAATTTTACATGACATGCTCTGCTCAAAGCAGGTGGTATTCCCAGCAACTGGAAATAAAAATGAAAAATACAAAAAATTAAACAGTATGGACGTTGATTATCAAAATCTTGATATTTCATATTTAGTTGTGGAAATTCCAGTGTTGTCAAAACTACAATAACAATGCATCATAAGCTCTAATATATATAATTAATGTATATTTATTAACACACAATTCTGCTGCCAGAGATTATAAAATAATTATAAAAATTATATGACAGTGCATGAAAAAAGAAATAAATTATTAGAAATCAAATATAACAGAACCACTGCTTTCAGAATTGCTTTGGCACTTCACAAAGTTATAAGTGGAATATACATTTTCAACATAGACTCTTTCATACAATTATACACATTAAAAATCTGTACAATAAGAAGTGTGTGTGTGTTTTGTGTGTGTGTGTGTGTGTGTGTATATATATATATATATATATATATATATATATATATATATATATATATATATATATATATATATATATACACATATTTGTGTTTTGGCTGTACAACTTCAATGGCTTTTAAATTTAAGTGCTTCTTGTAAAAAGGTTTTGCTTGCACAGCATCTTGGCAATCAAAGTAACTGAAACTGTGAAACTGTCAAGATCTGTTCCTAAGATACTGTAGTAATCAAAACAACCACTTAAAGCACAGGTTTACAAATTTTGTTAGTGAATGACAATAAGTGTATCATTTCCTGGGCTTGTAACCTAACATAAGAATAGACCTACTTATGATGAAAGGTTGGATTTTTTCCAGTTATATTTTGGGATTGCAGATTACTCTAAACATTGTTACAGATATACAATGTTCTCCTCCCCACCGTCATCCCCGTTTGGTCCTTCCAGTGAGAGGTAGGCCTGTGGGGGAAGGAGGGGCGTGAGAGAAGGAGAGGAAGAGTAGTCCTCCTCGTAAAGTCCGTCTGATGTGACCTCTGAACTCCATGACTCCAAAGATTGTCTCCCACGTGGAGGACTGAAGTCTGCAAATAACAGAAGTATTCTATATAAATCATTACAATAATAAAAAATATAATAAAATTTTTTGCGGTATTAAATAACCTATTCATGGGTTTCAGCTTCCTGTTTATAGGCACCATTTTGAGGACTTTTTTTCATTCATAACATTGTTAATATTTCATCACTCTGAAACCCATTTCATCGCTGTGAATCATTCTTAGTAAAGGCATTAGATTGAGCAGACATTTAAATTACATGCCTTGGTATAAGATAATTTTTTAAATAATTAACCAGTGCAATGCAATTAATCTAAAAATAAATGGGTAAAAGCTGACTACCAAGGATTGAGATTTTTTTTTCTCGTCTGCTCAATGCTTTTTGTTTGTATTTTATAAAATTAGATAAATAAATAAATAAAGCAAAGCAAATAAAGTATTATTATAAAAAAAAAAAAAAAGAAAACAATTTGTGTTAGTAGCTAGGCTCCCAAAGTTAGATTTTTGATCATATGTTTTGTTCATATATTTTTGTTCACAATCATGTTCAGTTTGCTGTAATTACATCTGCTGACTATGTAATTAACACCCCTTTACGAAATGCCGAGAATGTAAGGGACTCCCAACATACCAGGTCAATCAAAGCTAACTAACTGCTATGTGCCGTATTTTCCAAAGTAGAAGTTCATTTCATAATAATTAATTGGTTCAGAGACATTCCTAAACCTAGCCCTGATCTTAAACCTTAACCTGACTGTGAAAAAATATATGTCAAAAATCAACATTTGAAAGCATATACACTGAACACTAACTGACTGTTGTTTGTCATAACTGTGTTTGGGGAAAAATGGTACCAGTGATGCATTAACAGGAAGTAAAATTAAAACTGTATGATTTTTTTATTTAATCTTTGTCTAGTCAAAAAAGTCTTTTTAGACCTGGCAGCACAGATTAATTGGACAACACTGTTTAAAGAATGCATAAAGTAGTGAGGCGGTGTACATACTTGTTGGTTTGGGGGGCTGTGTTTGAACTCTGGAGCTGATGGAGTGCATGGACTCGCTAATTGGCTGTGTGGAGTTGTAGCTGCAGTTAGTGTAGGTGAGACGGTCGGACATCTGCCGGTTGTGGGCCTGGCTTAGTAAAGTGTTGAGGCTGTTGTAGAGACTGGCACTTAGGCCCAGGTTTGTGCTGTAGCCAGAGGAGCTCAGTGGTCCGTTCTGAATCCTCTTTGGGGCAGAAAGCAGACTTTGGTGATGGTTATGGGCAGACTGGTAGAGGTGGCTTTGCTGGAGAGTGGTAAGCAAAACAGTTTCATTCTCATACATTCTGCAATTACCATCCAAGCTACCTGAGTGAGTATGGCTGGGCACCTGAAGAAAATAAAGAGGAGTATGATTACTGATAATTATACACAAACATCTGCTTACATTATTTTTATTTTCTAAAGTAGGTTGTTAATGACCAACTTAATAATAATAATTAGTAGATAGATTTTATTTATATTATACTTACCATTTGAAAAACAAATCTCAAAATGCTACTCTCAGTTTAAAATCACATATAACAACACTCCACTTCTCCTCTTCTAACCTGGTAGTGCTGTGGTGGTATTGTGATAGGGAGGCTGCTTTGACGGTTGTGTCTCCAGCTCTGAAGCAGTCTTTGCTGGGCTTCAATCTTCTCCCTCTCCCTCTCCACACTCCTCTGGCCCTCCTTGAGTCTGTCCATGTTTTGTTGGTACTCGAGTAGTTGGATCTCAAACTCTTCTCGCTCACAGCGCAGTCTCTCTGCCTCTAGAAGGCACTGTTGCTCTCTCTGCCTCAACTCATTCTCCTGGTCACTCTGAAACACCCATTCACATAATGTCAGTGGAGGAAGAAGTGCACAGTTTTGATACTTAAGCAGGAGTACAGGTATCGGAAAAAATACTAAAGTGAAAGTATCACATGAAAAAAATCAAGTAAAAGTACCCATCATATCAACAGACTGGCCTGCTGTCTGTTGATATGATCAAATTGTGGAAAATATCAACAGACTGACCTGCTGCTTCTCTCTGGCCAAACACTCTTTGTCCCAACGCTGTTGTTCTTGTTTCAACTTCAAATGCAGTTTTTGGACTTCATCTGATTCTTTTTTCTTTTCCACATCCTCCTTTTTCTTATCAGAAGTCTTTGGTTTCTCCTGTTCCTGTTTCAAAAAGCAAATAAAACATTATTATTAACACAAATTGAATGCAACTGCATCTGTATTTACACACACATAAAAAAACAAATTTACTAGACACCTTAAACAATAAAAACACCTTAAATTAAATAAAAACACATACTGTATATAAAAACATAATTCAGTAAATGAAATGCAATTAAAATGTCAACTTCTCAAACTGTGTCAAATGCCAAAGTACAACAAGTGTGTTTTAAAAAGTTATTAACAACAGGTACAGTACAGAAGAGGCTTGTCTAATTTGGTATATAAGTAGGAGTAATTAAAGTTTAACTACACGTATTCTTTAACAGTGAAAAAATGTTAAGATTCATTCAGTAGTCTGTCTACACTGTTATACCGTGTTTTGAAGAGAAGGCAGGGCCCGCAGTGGTGTCAGCTCTCCCTCCTGAAGCAGTAGTTTCTGGATCTCACAGCAGCTGTCCTGAAGGCTCACAGTGGCCTGTCAAATCAGGACAAGTATTACAAACTGCTGACCAACTTGAATATAAGCACAGATCTATCTTCACCTACCTGTAGACTATAGAGAAGCTGAGTCAGACTTTGGACACTCTCAGCAACCTGCAAAATAGGTGGAAACATGAGGAAAAATAGAGAATAAATATAATATAATATAATATAGCAAAAACACTATATTTAATTATTAAATTTTATAGTGTTCATACTTTGATCAATGTATTTTTGGCCTCCCCTCTTTTTGGTTCAGTGCTCCACTCATCTGTCAGGTCACTGTCTGATCCAAGACAGGACGAGCTGATACTGAGCGTGCTCAAATAGTCCGCTGGTAACAAACAGCCAATTAAAGTCAGTTAGTATTTAAGTAGCCTCACAATAAAAAAGAGTGTCAAGTGTATGCCTGTCAAGATAAATTTTGTTCAATACATGATAGAATATTTGGGGGACAGCATTTATTGTGGGTACTTTTTCCTTTCAATTGTGGGATTTTTATTTATTTATTTTTTTTAAAATAATATGATAAGATTTGAGCTGTAGAAATAACTTATATGACTCATTATAGATACAAACTAAGTACTTAGTTACTACTAATTAATTATTTCAGCTCTTTTTCTTTTTTTTTAGTGAAGTGTTTTGAAGGGACTGACGCTCTGAGGGCACATCCTGGACACTGTCTTCACTGTTTGACTCTAGACCAGCGCAGTGCGGGCTCTGAACAGTGGCCCCATCACGGCTCTGCAGGACGCTCATCAAGTTTTCCGCTGGAAATAAAACAAATAGCTGTTAACTCACTTTTTATACCCAAATGTAATGTGATTCAACTATGCTAAAGTTACAATGAATACTATTTCTTTTTTCTGTTTTATCTGTTGTTCAAAAAGAGGTTTAAAGTAAATCTATTTAGTTCCACAAACCAAAGTGAATGCCACAGGAATGCCTTGTGCACTTCTTCACCACCACCTATTAAGAATGGTCTTTAAATCCTAAGACACTTTTCTACTGTTCCACTGGGTTTTCTTACCTTCCTTTAGGGCAGCGGTGAGCAGTGTTGTGGCCAGTCTGGGAGTGTCACTGTCCGCTTGTACCAGGAGGTGGCGATGTGGTATAGGTTCAAGAGAGCCAAGGCTGAGCTCAGTGAGTTCAGCATAAAGCTCCAGCTTTTCCTCCAGGGTGTTGCAGATCATCTGGTCCTGAGCCAGCAGTGTGTCTGTGTAAATAATATGTAATTTTTATTTTACTTATTATTAATTATTTAATTACTTACAATTTTGAATTTTAAAGACAATTTTCTGACCTTGAAAATGGGTAATCTTTTGAATTCTAGCCTCTGTTGCTCGTTTTGTCTCCTCTGATTCATTACTGCGTTCCTCTTGCTCTTCCTCTTCGGGACAACTGCAATCAGATGTATAAATATATCGGTAAGTATACTCACAAAATATTTAAAAAATATGCCAATTCCATGCAATGTCCGCATGGAGTGGGCATATTTCACATTAATGACACATTATTAATAGGTGACATGTACCTTTCTACAGCTTGTCTAATTTGTCTCATCCATGCGTTCCTTTCTTCTCTGGAAATAGTGTGAACTTCGTACATTTCTGGACCAACTGATGATGCTGAGATCAAGAACATTCCTCTTTCCTCATTGGCAACTTCCCTAACAATAAGCTTCTGTAGTGGAATAACTGGAGGCTTTTGGTCCTGTAAAAATGGCATCTGTTGTAGACAAAACTTACTTTCTAAAAGTGACATTTTAATACGTACCACAGCAGCAAATGTAAAACGCTGGTCTTTTTCTTGCAGGAAAACCAAGACATCAGTGAGTAGAAGAGCTAATGTATCTATAACACACAAAGAAAAAGTTAATGATATGCACCTAACTTTATAAAAACATATTTTTAATAGAAACTTTTATCCCAACCTTTTAGACGACCGGTCGCTGTCTTCCAGTAGACTAGTCCTTTGTGTTGCAGGACTCTGTGCTTACTACAGAGATCCTGCTTGGAAAACACTTTGTCATTCTTCAGCTTGGCGATGCTCTTGTTCTCGAGCCGAGTGAGGACTTCCTGTAGCTCTTGACTCTTCTCATATTTATTCACGGTCATGTCCACTGCTGAGATGATATCTCGAATATGAACAAGTGCACTTGATAAGTCCTGATATTCCTGACTTCCCTCTACAGAGATAATACAAAGAAACATTCAATTATATATTAAAGGTTATATATTACACAAAGTGACTCTTGTGAACTTTAAGTCATGTTAGAATTTTGTTTCCTTCTCAAAAACATACTTGGAATTGTGTTTTGTTTCATTCACACATACAGTATTTGATTAACTCTATTATTAGTCTGTCTACATCTTCAAACTAACTCCTACCTTTAACCTTTTGTTCAGTAGAGATTGACAATTCCAGGTCTAAAATCATCCAAATGATTCTAGTAAAGGTGTATGGAAAAGGTTGAGTATTTTCTGTTTGAAAGAATATTTCAGCATTATATGCTGTATATGTGAATGAAACAAAATACAACTACAGGAATGTTTGTCATGAGGAAACAACATTATAACATAGATCAGAAAATGTAATATGCTGTAATATGGGCCTTTTAAATTACCAGTCAACCAACAATTGTGTAGTACTGTCACAATTACTTACGTTTGGTGTACTGTAAAATCCTTTCCAGAAGAACTGGGTACTTTGTAATGCGCTGTGTGACCAACAAGATGAACTCTGGCACTTCTCTCCTTTTGACCAGTATGTTGTTGCTTTGTTGCTGTGATGGTACATTATAAACAGCAGCCAAAACAGTAAATAGTCTATTTATAGTTAATACATTTTGTAAGAGTTTTTATGTTCAATAAGTGCATTTTTTAAGCAATCATTTACCAAACCCTTACCTTCACAAAGTTTTGGAGTTTCTTGTTTTGTTGCTGCAAATCTTTGAAAATGTTGACTGCCTCCTTGTGGTGACTGCAGAACTCTCCATACATCTGCTTCATCTTCTCAGCATTTTCATCTGAGAACTGACCAAAACACACAAACATATACATTACAAAAGCAGAAGTGTATTTTAATGCCTATGTGGAGATGTGCCTTTACTAACCTGTTGAAGTAGAATATCACCAATACTGTGAATGAGGTAATTGCGCGGGTGGTGGAGTTGAGCTGAGGCCTGTCTACGTTCCTGCAAAGCTCCAAAGAGATTCTTGTGGAAGTGGATGAGGAGGTCGAGGCAGGGGAACATACGGGCTACACAGTCCAAGTCCAGCTGCAGCTCCTCCAGCATGCCTCTCCTGAACACCTCCGACATCACCGTCAGCGTTTGGATGTGATGCAACTCTGTCTGGAGCAGCTCTACGCTCAAAAAAAACATACTATATCAATCACTTTGCCTAATATGGAGTTAAATAAAAAAAAAATAATAATATAACATTACGGCGCTATTAAATGTTCACGCTGTATGTGGAACAATGATCAAAATAAGAGTCTGAAAACTGTCTCACCATAAATGACATCCTGGCGCTTTACAGTAAATCGTTCATGTTGTCGACAGAAGTCCGGGCTCACAGCTAGACTCCAGGACTCTGCATCAAGTCCCAGCTGGTCCGCAGACAAATCACCTAATAAAGAGCCGCCCAAAGCATCTGCAAAACCAAAAACATACTGTTTCAGTTTTGTATTTTGTTGATTTATTTGGTGTATAACTTGTGTTTGTTGGTACCTTGTGTGATGACCAGTAAATGGTCAGATGACAGAGGGGTCACAGATGCTCCTTCATCAGTCACTGAGGAGGTCACACCAGGTGACTGAGAACTCTCTTCTTCCACCACCAGCTTCTCGTGCAATTGTCTGTCAAAATAATACAAAAAGAGTGTGGGAACTGAGATGTAGTAATACCTAAACAAGAGTTATTGGTGGAAGTCTGAGATGAAGCAAGTTAAATGTTTTGTTTTATTATTTCAACATAAGTTTTGTTCTGGCTTGCTGTGCTGTTTTACAGATTTTCTTTCTACCAGGCTATAATTAACAGACAGACCTCTTACCTACTGTCTATGGAGATAGACATGCTTTTGGACAGCTGGGCTACAGGTTCTCTCTTGTCTTTTGTAGTTGTTGAAATTGAGGAGGGAGAAAACAGGGATACAGAGTCTTTGGTTGAGTCTGGAACAACATTAATAGAAGAAAATAAGTTTAAAAAGTACAATGATGTGTATTCATAATGATCAAATATTACATAACTTCATAATTAAATATTTTAACACTGAGCAGCTTATTCATTTACAAACACAACCCAGCCCTGGTCTCCCACCAAGACTGATTAAAAAGTAACTTGACTGAGGAAGGAAAACATGGTTGGGGACTGACTACAATAATGGTTTACTAGTCAAACAGTTAGGGTTCTATAGGGACAGTACATAACAGCTGAATAATGGATGAAAGAGAGAGACTTGGGGGGAGGACATTCTCAAAATGAGTTAGTAAATGGACACAGTGAAATGAAGCTAATGAGACTCACTCAATGGGAGGGACAGGGTCTTGCTTTTCATCAGCAATGCATTCTTCTCTGATTGTTTCTGAATATAAACAGCAGTATTATGTAAATCATAGAGGACATAAGACTGCAATAAACATGACTTCAGATACAAATTTAACACACATTGTGAAAGAGTCAGATTTCATAAAATAACACATTAAGCACATTGTACATTTTGTTTTTGTCATGATAGAAAGTACACTAAGCATATATTTATATTATTGCTACATTGACCTGTTTTTGGCAATACAAGTCTGTAACAAATTAATGTTATGTGCAGCTTTTGTTAGTTAGTTTCAGAGAATCAGGTTAACAATAATAACACTTTGCCTGTTTATTTTGTAACATTTAAAGTGTATTTATGTTAACTCAAAAAGATGAATGAGGGGCTTATGGTTACCTTTACACAGGCCATGGAAAACTCACGGCAGCTCTTATGAACCTTCAGGAAACAGTCTGCAGGCACAAAACAGACGACAGTCCGGTTATCCCATAATAAACAACATTAACAACATTAGCACATCTCTGGACTCAAGCAGATGGCTGTTGTATTTCTCACAGTAAATGGAGGAAGAACAATGACAACATGCACATTAGTATAACAAAACATTGCAGCAATGTGATGATTTTTCAACAAATCTAAACAGTTGAAGACCATAGCACATAAAACAACTGCCCTTGTTGTTACAGTGAGTCTTATACTTACTGGAGCAATGCAGCAGCTCCTTCCCAGAAACAAACTTATCGCAGGCCACACAGAGCGCAGAGCCAGATGGGGACATGGGGGAAAACTGGTGTCCATTGACTGCTGTCCCTTTTTCTTTCATCTCCTTGACTTCTTTACCCTTTACCTAAAAATGGTAAAGGGTCACATTTTTATATAACGCTTTTCCACCTTCAAGGCCCTCAAAGCACTTCATATCAAGGAATCACTCACACATTCACACACACATTCACATGCAGGCAATGTGGGAGAGGTAAGTTAAGTGTCTTGCCCAAGGACACAACAACAGTATTCATCTGTAGGAACTGGAATTGCACCTCCAACCTGTGGGTTAGTAGAACTGACTGCTCTACCAATGATGTGTCAAGAGCAGGATTTGAACCGCCAACCATCAAATCAATAATCAACACCCAATTGAGCTAAAATAAATCATAAAATAAATGTATATAATTTCAGAAACAGAGAGGAAGAGCATGCTTTGCCAGCCACAATAACAACTTTTTATGTGCTGTATCTTTCTGTATAAACTATTGATACATTCTCTGGGGTGTGAGCTTTATGTTTATTCGTTTTTTTAGTTTTTATGTTTCTGTTTATGTTTGTTAGACTTTAATCTGAGCTATTTTTTGTGTTTTTGAGCGTTTTAATACAATCTGACCAGAAAGAGCTTAGTTTGAACTACAATTCAGGTGAGAGGATTTGTCCTTTTAAACAAGTCCCTCTCAAATAAAATTATAGTCACACCTATACAGGAGCATTAACACTCACACAGCTGATTACAGGCTCCTGAAAATGTGCTGTTTAAATCCATTTTGTATTTTTTTCAGACAATCTTAAAACTTATTTGGTAGTGAACATTCTGCCAGTACACATTCATGTCCAGTAGAACAGTGTGACGACTGTGTCATGTAAATGTAAAATATCAATTGAAGATAACAACCTCCAATGATAACCCCAAAGCAGGATAATGCCAGTAAAATTATACCTTATATAAAATATGAGTTGCAATAAATTATTACAGCAACACTTAAATTACTAAATTACTACATATTATATTACTATTACACTGTAAATAGTCAAATTGGTTAATTATTAGGTATTTGCAACATCTTAAAATGTCATACAAAAATGTTTCCCAAAATATAATAATTATCTTGGCTTAGTCATAGTTACTTGTTCCTAACATGCCTACTGAATGGACTAGGTTCAGATAATGGCCTCTAGCTTGTTTGCTTTGTTAGGAAGCTAAATCATAATTTTGTCAATACTTAATGCTCATTGTTGATAGAGATGTGTGGTTGTCTTGTACATGTGTGATTCTGTGAGTGTGTATGAGTTGTTGATTGGGAGTAATTTCATTGTATAATTTATTTCTGCAAATCAGGGACTGCAGATGGAAACACGCTATTTAGCTGCAATCTGGTGGAGGAACATAATTTTTGTATGAGCTTAATGCCTCTGTATACTGTCCTGTCAAATAAAGACTAAATCAAAACTAAGAGCTGGTGTAGTTGATTCATTATCTTTGGAGGACTGATGGGGTAATCGTGCGAGGGAGCTTGTTTATTTTCATTGTGAAGTTAACAGGGAATTCTTGAAGTGCAGGTTTGTTTTTTTCTTCACCCATGTGCATCAGATGGGTTATTCATATGTGAAAACAAATGAATGCACACGTGTTTCAGAGCGGGGAGTATACCGTGGAATGTGGTTGGGTTCCTCGGGCAGTGCTGGGGGTCTCTGCATTATGTAAGAATATTTTTGCAGTGTCCTGTTGCTAAGACCTGAAGTGGGAGAATTTTCCTTTTCGCCAAATAAAGGCACTGTCAGTGTTCACACAAAGTCTCCCTGGTGCAAGAATTCACTGTAGCTGAGCAGTGAACTAAGACCCACGCCCCCTCGTAACCTTTTATGTTTCAAATAATTACTCAAGTTCAAATTATATACATTCATTTGTATACAAAAAATCTGACCCGGCCCAGTCATTTGTCTATAGAAAGTCTATAGAAAAATGTGACCATTTACTGAGTTAATCAGTTTATCTTTTAAGGGGGACTAGGTTTCTCTGCCTAAATAGGGCTGGGAGATTATACTACTATCTACTACTACTACTATTATGTAAAAAAAAATAAAAAATCTATAGGAGTGAGTTTGTGGCTGCATTATGATAAATAAAAAGAAAGAAAAAAAAAAAAAAAAAGAGTCTAAACACTTTTTAGGCGACTGTAGAAGCTTGTCAGAGATGTTGGTCATCAAAAAATTTGTTTTTATTAGGTTGCTAACATCATATGGATATAACACCAAAATGTCCCTGGCGTCAATTACAGAGGGCATGTTATAAAATTAGGAATACAAATAAAATGAACAAAATCTAAATGCTAAGGATTTCATTTACCTCCAAATTGATAGAAAATCACAAAAAAATATATTGCAATACACTTTTTTTCTTCGAGCCCAGGAGGATATATAAAACAAAGATGTGGAAAAAGTTATTAAAATGTTTTAAGCACTTTAAAGTGTACTATGTAACTTTTCAGGTCCTGTCGTCTGTCTGGCTCCAATGAGATATTACTTTGCTTGAAATACATTACAAAATGATAGAAGTTTAAACACATCTAGTTCCATGGAGACAACAAGGTGATACCACTAGTTTTATCTATGGAGAGACTAACCTGCATACAGTAAGAATACATGTTTTATGTATTCAAGCCAGGTAAAGTAATAACTTACACCCAGGAGATGATCCTAATCAGAAAAGTTGCTTAGTGCACCTTTAAGCATGCTTTGGCAAATGAAACAGAGTTTTATAATTAAACAGTGGCTGCGGTAACATGCTCAATATCAGATTTTTTGAGTTATAAGACTATTAAAATTATGTAAACAACAAAATCATCTTTCCCATCACGTTCCCTCTGATTACTCACACCCAATTTTGTGATTTGCATGTCATTTAGATAAACTTAAAGGTCCAGATGTCAAATAATAATCAGCTTTTGGTGTGCATGTAAACAAAGCCACCGATGGTTAAACAGTAGATGATAATGACTTTAATATTGTATGTCAGAGTGGGCTCACCTTCGTTTTGCTGCGTGTGCTGGTCATCCTGCTCTTGAGGAAACTGAAGGTGCGACTGACTTTGTACTTCTCTGATTCAGCTTTAGAAGGAATTATATATCTGTCCCACTCCTCGTCCTCAATCCTGTTTAAATGCAAAAAAAAGAAAATTAAGGAGTAAAACTTTTCATAACAAGAAAGTATACGTGTTATTTTAAAGACCTACTTTAAAAACTTAAACATGCATAAGTTTATTACTACAGTGAGAGAATGTTGGTTGATTTCTGAGTTTATTTTTTCTATTCAAAGGTTAAAGTATAGACATGCTTCAGTGTAATAATGCATATTTGTGGAGCCCTCTTCTAACAGTTACTCATGCTCAAAACATGCCTGAAGTGACGATAGACTTGAGTGGTTACTATTTATGGTATGACCTTGGCAAGGCACAAATTATTAACATATCAACTGCTCACACCACTGTGGGTTAAAGAGTCAAGACATATAGAGAAGACATACAGGGTCACATACACAAAACATGAACCAAGCCCATGTTAAATACCTCTTCATCAAACTGTTCTTATAGTTATAAAATCAACAGGATTGAAACAGGACTGATATGAGATGCAGTTAAAAGATTGTATTCACATGACATCACAACATTACACAATCCCTATTTAAAATGGTTTAAAATGGAGTTGTCAGAATGCAGATTTATTGATGTGGTTTATGGTTAATATCTCTGCAATTATACTTGACCTATCCACAAAAATTGGACCAAACATCAATGTCTTCTAAGTTAGTATAAACAAACAAAATTTAAGTTATTTCAAAAAGTGGTTTTAATATTCAACGCCAATGTCATAATATTTTTGGATTGGATTATTGCTACAACAACACTATTGCCATGCCAAATCCTTCAAATCAGGAAGGAATCCTGAATGCCTGAAACCCATGAATTATTTGTTTTCAGATTCAAGAATGTAATGACGTCATAATCCCAGATGGGGGGCAAGAGCCAGTTTTTCCTATTGGTAACACTGTACTTAGCCATGAAATATTTAAAAGATAAAGGCCCAAATGATGAACTTGATCCTTTCTATTACTGGCTAGACTCAGGAATTCACTATATAACATAAAAAAATTGCATTTAACAATAATAAGGTTAGATGTGTGTTAGATGTATTAAATATTACTAGCCTATAGAATGTTGTGATGCCATCTGAAACCCTGCCGTTGGAAAGTCTTTTCATAATGGGGTTAGAGAGGTTAAACAGAAATGCAGGCCGAAGCTTCTGGCACAGCACATACTCTTTGAGGAACTCTGTGAGGGTGAGGTGTTGGAGCGATGCGCTGCTCTCCTCCTCAGCGGACTGGGCCCGTTTACGGAAACCCAGTATCCTGCACGGACATGACATACCTCAGACCACCATGTTTGTTTTAGCTTAGAAAGACAGGACTGCACCACATGTATCCCCCACACACAGAGGAACTCATTCATTTCTCAGCATGTTTGTGTGCAACATAAACATGATATTGTTGTCAAGTATAACAGTTAAAGAAATGGAATTGGAAAATATTTCATAAAGCAGCATTAATAAGACAGAAGATTCAATCCAAAAAGCATTATCTTGTTAGCTTAAAATGGAGGTGAAATGAGAGGTCTCTGTGGTTATACCCTGAACTTATAGCACAATATACTGCACACCACGGACAGGGAATCCAACGTGGTCTGCTATTGTTTTGGTGTTTACTCAAAGTTGCAATCCATGAAAAATGAACAATGAAGTCTTTGAACACACTGTACTGTATTCCACATCCTGTCCCCTCAGATCCTGACCACAAATACAACACAGAGACGATACACTTACAAATACAGACATACAGACTTACCTTTTTTCTCTGGATGGAGTTTCAGTCAGGCTGAATGCCCGCTGCTCTGAAATAAAATGGAAAACAAAGGGTTAAAGACATATCCATAGAAGAATAAGACAAGTTTAGACAACTACAACAAATAATTTAAAACCACAAAGATAGAAAATGTTTCACAGAGAGATAAACAAAGCCATCGTAAGACAGGAGGAACACCCTTCTTTCGAAAGACATAAAGCTGAATTAATTCCCCAAACAGCCAGGGTAATTTGTTATCATACAATTAATAGATTAACAATAATGCCCAGTGAGTTTGAAAACAAAGTCAGCTCATGAAAGTAAAAAGTCAAGAGCACCCCCACCATTCATCAAACTGCACCACTCCAAAGACAACCACAGAAACAAGGCTGCACAATATCTATACTTTGCAAAATAGTTGACTACTGCAGTTGACCTGCTAAGTCCACTTAAATATGTTCGTTGTTTTCTTATACAGTAGAAGGTTGAATTGTGCAGCTCTTGAGAGTTGGTGCCAAAAATCACCTCATAGGGGAGACCTAACTTGTACTTACTAACTGGGTTGAGGCGAGATAAAGATTTAGACAGAGATAAGGCTTGAAGCAGAGAGCGGCCGCTGCCATCTACACAGAAAACACATGTCTTCATGACTGTACATAATGCAGAGAGAGGCATATGTGAAACAGCTTTACAGCAGCTGCATGTCTGCTTTATGCGGAGCAAATGGGTCAGATTATCCACACCTTCAAAACAGGGAGATCAGCAGCCAGGGGTCAAAGGTCACTCACCTTCTGTAGGGTCAGAGATGGTAGCGTCTCTGTTTAGCAGTGGCCGTGACGGTTTAGCTTTGGGGGAGGAGTACGAGTAAGAGCGCAGGCGGACCTCAGCCTCCTCTGGGCCCTGGAGCAGAACACTCACAAGTCAGTCTACAGTGCTGTCACTCACTAAACTACAAACTTTAAGGGTAATTTCACCAAACACAAAACAAAAGGTTTAAAATTCTGTCATCGTGTTCTTGAGAAAGACATCTGACTATGTAAGAATGTGGTGTGTGAGAGAGTGACTGGTGGTGGTCGGTGGTGTGTTGGGTAGATAGACAAGTTTGCTTCTGTCAGTCTAACCCAGGGCACCTGTGGCTACAGAAGTAGCTTATCATGTACAAGAAGTGAAATGTGACATGTTTTTAAGCAACCAAAAACACTACACTACTAAAATACATTATAGCAGTGTTTGCTAACGACAAGAACTGAACTTAATTGGTTAGCATATTTTAGAAGAATTACTTAATAATTAGATATCACTGAAGGCTGTATATATTACTAAATCATTGTAACCATTTAAAAAACACACACAAAAACCAAAAATCATAATCTTTGTTTTCACTTCAGGATTCTGTAAATCTACCTTGTTGTGACTAAAAACAATATAAAGTGGTTCTTTTCCTGCTTTGTTCTCTGATGAATTGTCTGCTGCAAAACACTGCACTCACTAAAGTCACTACATCAACGCAAGAGTATGAACCCTGTCTGACCTATGCATGTTTTCAGTTCTTTGGTAGCTTTTATACAAATTTTGTGAATGTTTTTTGCTCTATCCTTCCTAATAATAAAAAAAGTTAAATGAATTATATAAGATTATATACATTTATTATGAGGCCGTACCTTAGCAGAATTGTTGTCAGAATGTGTGCGTTCAGCGTCTGGTGAGGTGTCGAAGGAGTCCCTCTCTTCTCCAGAACTCGACCGCAGACTTGCCTGTTTCCTTAAGGATGCAATTGGGTAAGAATGTCCCAGGATATCCTCTTCTTCACTATCACACTCAAGACTTGGGCTAAACAAACACAGAAATGCATCTTTAAATATACACTTTTAGTAGTCTAAAAGCTAGATATACAAGTATTCAGGACCTTTGCATTTTTGGAGTAACACCCCTGTATTCTAGAGGGAGTGTTTATACAAATTTCGATAAATATGGCAACTCAATTGTGTTCAGCTTCCTGTCACTTCCTGTGCCATAAGCAATGAAAACACATTTTCAAATTTGAAACGAATAAAAAAAAACAACTGAAAAATATGTTGTTAAATCATGTTTTTAGTTTAATTTCTATTTATGATCTTAAAGAGCAGAAGGAAAAATAAAAGCTACAGTCACAGACAGCATTTTAATGGTAAGAGTAAGTGATAGATTATAGACAAGTTTAAGATAAGAAAAGTTAAAAGAACCTTTTTTTGTCCCAAAATGTGGAAATTACAGTGTTGCAATCCATAGTTCAGCAACAGAAGAAGAATATGAAACATGCAGACACAAATCAAGACACAATTGTAAAAATAGAATTAATTAAAGCTAACAAAAAATTTACCAGTAGAGTAAAGCTATAAGACTAAAAAGCTATTATGTACTACAAGTATATATGGTTTAATTAATGTGTCTTACCTTAGATCTCGTGTCCTGTCTGAGAAGCTGTACCCCCTGTAGTTAACTCTTGGAGAAACTGTATGTGACGTCCGTTTGTGTCCTCCTTCGAACAAGTGGAAGGCGGACGCTAGGGGCGACGAAGGAAACACAGGAGAGGAAGTGAAGGGAGAAGTGGGAGGCTTTTTGAGACCAGTTCCCTGAGGGTCCCGAGCTTCAGCTGGCGGTGAAGCTGGGTAAGAGCAGGTCTCAGTGTTGGAGGGAGTCCCAAAGAAAGAGTCCCAGCCTGGTCTGCTCCCTTCATTTGGAGAGTGGTACTTAATGTCCAAGTCATCCACCTGGAGCATACACAGGACAGTGAGCATTCTGTGGTCAAAAATCTTAATCAGCTGAGTATGTATGAATTGTTAAAAGTGCATTGTGTAACTTTTCTGGTGGAGGATCCTTTACTCCATGGAGATATTATTGCTTTGTCTGGAGTGTTTCACAGTATGACATTAAACCTAAACTTAATTAAACATTTAACCTTCTATCTTCATGGAAACCAAACTAGACCAAGTTACAGGTCAGATCTGTGGAGAGGCTCATATTCAGTTTCTGTAGGTATTTTTGAGCTATAAAACCACCTATAATTTAAAAAACTTAAGGTACAGCTGTTTAATGCCATACTGTGGAAAATTCCTGGCAAAGCAGTGATGTACCCAAAGAAACAAGCAGGTGAGAGACCCCAACCAAAAAGTTACATTGTACACCTTTAAATCTGCACTACATATAAGAGGTCTGTTATGAATTAGGGCTAGTGTGCAATTAATCAAATTTCAAATAAATCATTATGGTAATCAATGACTAAAATGTTGTAAAAGAAAGTACAATTAACTTCAGAAAGATATGTGCTCTAGTTCTCTCCATTAACACATATAGAGCAAAGACACTTTTGTATTTCAGATATGGACAGGTATGGTAAGTGTGCATATTACGGTCACTATTTTCTGATCTGTGTTATAATATTGTTTCTTCATCACAAACATACCTGACGTTGTGTATTGTTTCATTCACACATGTTCAGGCTGAGTTCTTCTCTCAAATGGAAGATACTGTTTCACCTTGTGATGTCATGTCGTAATACAGGAAGTGCTCCACTGTGTTTATAAACTCCATACACCTTCAGCCCTGAAACTGCCACAAAAACTACTACATGAAATCACAAGGTGGAACAGAACATTTTGAGCTTTGAAGATGTAGACAGATAAATAAACCAGGATTACTGACACGTGTGAAAGCAACAAAACACATCTCCAGGAATGTTTTTAATGAGGTAATCACATTATAAGACGGCTAAAAGCTCATATGTATCAATTTTTTGTATATTTAGGACCATTAAAACAAATGGGTCACAAGATATTACTTATTAAATACATCAAGTGCATACATTCTCTACAGGTTAATTTTCACAGTGCAAAAGTTGTCGTTTGTTATAATCGTGACTTCAATTATGATTTTTTTGCCATGATCAAATAGCCCTTCTATGATCTGTATTTCGTATTGTTTACATTTTGTGTCTACTGTAATTTAAGTTTAGTTAGCAATTTGTGGCACATAAGGTAAACTTCCAGTAAACCCACCAGCTTCCCGTTGGCAAACTCTCCGTCTTTGCCATGTATCATTGCTGAAAGTCTTGCAGCTGCAGAAAGTGTCGGGGATGAGGCCTCTTTAATGGACTGACTCTTTTCTATGGATAAGGAAAGTCACAGTCAAAGGGTGCAGGCACTTTCCAATATACCACTTGGTTTCCACAACAACGCACAACACTTCACAAACCCAGGAAGTGACATCCACATCCTGGCCAGTCGCGTGTCATTGTTCAGAAACAGGATTTGCCTTGTGCCTGTGTATAGCTTGCATATACACACATTAAGACTGGAGCTCTGTACCTATTTCGAAGAACGCCCTGCCTTTTAATACAACAAATGGAAAAAACGCAGAGTATACAAGCACACAGGAGCATTGAGAGGTCCCCTGCCCATACAGTGAGACCTCTGTAAGCCCTGCTCTGGTTTAGCAGTTAAAGAGAAAAACAGTTCTGCTCTTAAAACACCCTGGTCTCACTGGGAAAAGTCAGTGACATGGCTTCTCCAAAACACAGTTAGTGAAAAAAATAACAAAAACTTTCAACCTTTTATGAACAGTTTTAATATAGTCTTGATCTATATATATATATATATATATTTAAAAAAAACTAATATAGAACTACACTAGTATTCAGTTTTCTCAGTTTTCTCTTGAGTTTTAAAATTCCATTCCAATGTATAAAAAAGAGGATATCAGGCCTTTTGTTTTGGTATTGTGACAGCATTCTAGTATATAACTGGTTTACCATGTTCAGTCATCGTATTAGGGCTGTAGTCAGGAAAATAAATAAATAAAATCTTGGTCGGCATGCCCTGTGCATTAATTAATTGACTAAACAAGGATGTAGTGTGCATAGACTGTATAAAGTCTTTATACAATCTATGGTGGCGTGGCACAAACAAATGTTCTCAAAATGTTCAGAATCTTGCGAGTATACTGAGAAGAACTAGTAAACAAAATCTTCCTAAGTGAAAAGGTAGATTAAAATGTCCAGTTATTCCAATAAGTCCATAGACTGTATATAAGTCCAACTAACTCACCCCATGCATTATCACATCTGCTGCTGTCCAGATACTAAATCAAAACTATTTGAATCAAATAATTAGTTGACAAATAAAAACATTTGGCCAACTAAGACTAAGAGTAATCAACTCAACGATTAAAGAAGTACTTAAAAGCCCTACATCAAATTTAAGGGAAATATTGTAATAAACGCTACAATCAAAAAGCAACCTTTCTAGATTTTAAAATATAATTTCATTTTGGTATCTGTGCAGGTTTGAATACGAATAAGGCCGTGAAACCCCACCTTGTCTGCAGCTTTCATACTAATGTGAAATTCCTGATGTTGTTTGCTGTCTGGGTTTTCTGGCCCACTTTTTGCCGATGTGAGCGGCACACCTAGATTTGAGTGTGTAGAAGTGGGATCAGTATAAGTGCAGTAATACATAATGACTATAAATCAAAGGATCAGCGTGGGAACAAAAGAGCTGAGATGTTTGCACATAAAACAAAAACAATATTTTTTTCTTGGTGTTTTGAAGTCATTTTATTCTCCAGGGTTACTCTATACTTTGGAGAACAAAGCTGGATTTCTTTTTGACTTAGAGTTCAATAAACAATCTATGTACTAGTGCTGTAACAATGCTACAATACCACAGTGATAATAGAAATCTTTTAAAGGTGACACAGTGTAATTGTAACACAAAATATCTGTCTCTTTAATATCATGCAGTCTGTTTTGATACAACCCTTCTACAGTTATTTAGAAAAGGTTCAATGTTATCCTATTGATGTGATTTCTTCAGTATTGGCACTGGCTGAAATAAGTTTCTACTTTCAATACTAGTTTTAGGATGTGGGTATACATTTTTAATAACCCTACTATGCACTGCTACTTTCATCATAATCTTATGTATGAAACTGGGGAAGTGAAGCCAGCCATGTGAATTCACTGAAAAGCAATTTCCCCACGGGGACAACTAAATTCTTCTATTTAAAAGTAATGTGGTTTTGAGCACATCTTACCATAGATATGCAAAAACTTTGGTGAATGGTACAGCGTGTTGTTTCATACCACGAAGATTGTTGCCCTTAGAATTCATAGTTTATATTTATGTTATGCCATAAACATAATACTCAATACAAACTCACAATGTTTAACAGCCAAAAGATATTTATTCTGAGGAAGAGGGTTTGTGTGATCAAATAGAAAACAGGGTCAAATACTGGACATGGTCTTAACCGCTGTTTGAAAGTGTATAGAGTTTCATATAAACCCACTCAAAGGGCTTGACAGGCAGCAGAAATAGTGTGGCTTATGAGCGGTGTCCAAATCCACAGCTGGTCACAGTGGGTACAGCTTCGCACACAACTGACCCTTGAACACTAAACGAACAGATGTGAAATAATAGACTATTACAGAGTCTCTCAATGGAGAAATATCCAAGTGTGACATAAAACTGCATAAAAATACCACGATAATCAATAATACTGAAACAAATGTAAATGAGAATCCCAATTAAACCCTGTTCTAAATCAGTAAATAAAAAGCAGGATGAAACACTTTTGTACTTATTTAGTGTCTATAATTATTCCTAAAAAGTTACTTATTTGACCCTCAAAAGGTCAATATTGAAACAAATTTAAAAATAATCCTAGTAAAATCTGTTCCAAATCAGTAGATATTAAGCAGGATGAAACACTTTTGTACTTCTTCTTTGTACTTACTCATAAAAAGTTTGACCTACAGCTCAAATCTTATCTACCACAAAAGAATAACCAAAAAATATATAGTAGTGCAAAATAAAATGCACACATGGCAAATACCGAGTATCGTTGCAGTTCAATGATGAGTCGATATAGTAATTATCATGACAGACCTAGCACAGACTAAACCACAGTTTCTTCTTGCATGCCAGTCTGATAGAAAATATATTTAGCTCAGTGTTTGTAATATATTCAGCGCCTGTCCCCGAGTGAGACCAGGCAGTATACAGTAGCAGCAGCTCAGAGTCAGACAAAGACAGCAGTCAGTGGCAGGTTTCCAGAGCACAGCAGCTCAGTTCAGAGAGTGACCCTTCGACCCAGAATCCCCCTGGGACAGAAAGAGGGATGCAGGCAGGCCCAATGGAGAAAACTGTTACAAATGCTCTTTCTCTGAATTAAGAAGCTGCTGTCCTATTGCAAAAATATAAACTCTCTTGAATGAGGGATGCGGGCGTTTGGCAGGAGAGCAGCACATGTGTCTGCACTTTCAGCTGTGTGTATATTTTGTGGAATGGGCAGAGTATAACATGGTCATGTGACTCCATAAAAAAATGCCTTTCTCTCAAAATAAAGAAATAAACAATAGGAAAGTATGTATATATTTTTACATTTTATTTTATCATATGCAACACTACACCTCAACTGCCAGATGAAGACAGTTCCACAAGTGCATGTAATTGCAAAGGAAAAAGCATGTTTTTAGGGCAAGCTTTCAAAAACACAATGGACAATGGTGATGACAGATGATAACTAAGAACATTTTAAAATTACATAGAAAATAAATTTAAAAGTATCTAGTAGTTACTTTCCATACTAACAGCAGTGAGATGCAGATATCCTCTGAGAATAAAATTTGACTTAACTGGTGAGATTTCAGTAAGTTCAACAAGAAACACCCCAATAAACAACTGCCATGCTGTACTGGAGAATTTACTTTTCAGAGACAACAAGCACAAGCACAAGTAACAATATCTTCATGTGGAGGACGAACGCAAACACAGGCTGTTTAAAACTGTTAACCATCCACCATCAGACTCCACAAACCCACTCTGAGTTATAAGACATGTGGCCAATACGTCTCACTGTCCAAGCATCACATGTTTTTCTTTGACTGCGTCGTCAAAACATTTAACCCTACTGTAGCAGAGCAAAACCCACACCTGAAATCACAGCTAACGTTGTTGCAGGTGGATGGTTGTCAACATGAATGGTTCAGAAGGAAAAAAGATAAAAGAACAAAACAAGGTCAACTGAGATAAATGGAGACCTAGTGTATTACAGAAGAACAGTTCGGTATGTAACTTTCTGGAGGTAGAACATCACCAGGACGGAAATAGAAAGTTCAAAACATTCTCTACAGAAATTAGAATGTCTTTATGCTATACTGTGGAAAATTATAGCCAAAGGAACAAGATTTCTATGGAAACAAGCAGAACAGAATAGGACCAACATTAGACCACATAGTAACATTTAAATACAAAAATAATTCATTTATGTTTCTGTTAAAAACTACATTATAATATTACTAATACTAACGTACACAAATACATTTTCCAGCTCGGGTTTTAAAAACAGTAAATCAGCTTGTCATTGTGTCACCATATCCAGATATTTTTATTGAAATGTGAGCCACATTAAGGACCCTGTGATTTTCATTCCTACTGCACATAAACATTTACACAAGAGACTCGCTACCTCACCACCAATGAACTGTTAAGCAGATTGAATTGGAAAAGGTTTAGGACATAGGAAATAGTAATCATTACTTTTATGCCACGTCGTATTATTGAGTTTGTTGTAATTCCTCAGGTGTTGATTTGTTTTACTGTTGCTGCGCTGTTTTATTTTTACTCCCTAATTAGGGATGTTCGACATACCAGTGTTTTCCCTGTAGCCCACTTTAAAATACAATGCACTTTATTAGCTGGAAATACTTACTGACTTTGTGGAAAGTGTTAGCATAGCTGTCTGCATCATGGGGGGCTCTGACTAAGAACAATTATGGTTTATGTTTAGACAAGAATATATAGACCCTAGGACTGGGCCATAGGGTGATACGAATCTAATTGCAACCTCGTTCTCTGTGATGATAATCATATTATACTGGCTGAATACTGAAAAATTTGCTGGATCGGATATCGGCTTCCAAATATCATTCCAGCCGATATCCTTGTTGGACATATAAATTGATGCAATGTTTACTGGTTGTAGTTGACCCAAAAAGTCCCATAATGTTTGAACTTTTATTTATACAAAGTCGTTCTGTAGTTACTTGAGAGATAAATAACAGCTGCATAACACATTTGGATCAGATCTGTCTTATGTCAATTT